TCTGGGAAGGCCCTGGAGGTATTAATGGGCTATAAGTTGTACTTATAGCAAATATTCCCAGAGAAATAGACAGGTTCTTCTTTGGAACTTTTTTAGAACTTGGAACCTGATTGTCCTTGAATAGGATGTGTGAAACGAAGACAGGTAAAGAGGCAGTTGGGATGACAGGTGTTGTCAGGAGTATGTGTATTGTGTGTGTGTGCTCAGTCCTGTCCTACTTTTTGTGACCCCATGGACTGTAGCCCATCAGGCTGTTCTGTCCATGGGATTTCCCAGGCAAGAATACTGGAGTGGGTTGCCATTTCCTCCTCTAAGGGAACTTCCCAACTCAGATCAAAGCAGCATTTCTAGCATCTTCTGCATTAGCAGGCAGAGTTCTCTACCACTGTGCCAACCCATACATTAGAATAAATAAGAGTTGCAGAAGCAAGAATTTGCCTAGAATCTTAAAAAAAAAAAAAAATGGGCTTGAAACTCCCTCTGTGGCTGATCTCATCAAGGCCTGCCACCTCCCTAACCTGGTTTTCAAACTGTGGTCCAAACTCATATTAGGCTTATTTTCCCCTTTCTACTTCCCTGTGTCTATGGGATGCTCTGATGTCAGAAAAGTTTTATTTAATTTTTTTCCCATAAGACACAAACACCTGAAAATTTGAAGGAGACCAAATTTGGTCTCATTAAAGGAGACCAAAGATTTTGACAATGGATTTTTGGATCTGTGGGGCAGGACCTTAAATCATTTACACTTACCCCCATAGGACCTGGAGGCAGCCTACTCACCTTTATTCTGGGATGCCATCCTTTGATTTCTGAAGAGACCATCTGTGATGGTATTGGGCACTAAAGGAAGAAATAGTCTTTGGAGGTATTGAAGGGGTATTCTTCATTTATAGACTTAAAGTTTAATACCTACATTTGGAGGTATTGAGGGGGTATTCTTCATTTTGATTTGAACTTTGAAGATTTGTACACTGGAATGACAATGTCTGGCCCTTTAAGAACTGTGCAGATGAGGAGGTTGCCAGAGAAATGTTTAAGAAAATATTTCCCTTAGAGCACAATATTTTCTACTCCCAACTTTTCAACTTAAAATTCAAGAGCACATTAGCAGCATGGTTTTTGTATTGTTCAAATTCTACCACCTGTGCAATCCATAGCATGTTACTTTGTTTCTCTGAGCTTCAGTTCTCTTTTTCAGAAGAAATAAGAAAATATAGGTAGTAATTAGCAAGTACAGTGTCAAACACGATGTGTGCTTCCTGCCCATTCCAATGAGGGAAATAGTGATGTTGAAGACATTTGTGATCTTGATAAACCAGGTCTGTTGTCCAGACTGACCTTGTCTTTTTCAAATACCATTACCCCTCTGATCCTCAAGCTGTTCATCAATTAAATGGTGACAACATTAACTTATACTTTTTGAGTTATATGTACAAGTCATTGTTGTAAGTGTTTTCATATATTAACTAATTCATTTGATGCTCACAGTCCCCCAAGGTAGATATTATTTTTATTTTACACACAGGGTAACTGAGGCAGAGAGAGAGGTTGGTTGTATCAATTGCCACAAGGTCACACAGCTAGTAGGTAAAAGATCCAGAGTTCAGCCCCAAGTGGTATGTTTTTTGCTTCTTGTTGTTTTGGTCACTAAGTTGTATCTGACTCTTTGCGACCCCATGGATGTAGCCCACCAGGCTCCTCTGATCTTGGGATTTCCTAGGCAAGAATATTGGAGTAGGTTGCCATTTACTTTTCCAAGTATGTATGTATATATACATATATACCAAATAGTATGCATGCTATTTTTGTGGAATATTAAAATGTAAAATTAATAAAGGACATAGTAATTGCTTGGAATATAATCACTATGTTGGAGAAAGTAGTGATTATGATAGAGGCCTCTCTATAGGTATGGTCATATGATTAATGTTCATCAATAGAATATGAGTGAACACTGAGATATTACCACGTTAAACACTTTAAGTCTGAGAAGGCTGAGTGTAAGTGTCTTTTACACCTATTTTTCTCATCTGAACTTGTGGAAACAAAGGACCTTGAGACGGCAGGATTTCAGTGGACAGCAGCATGTGCACCTGAATTTCTTCTGAAGGAATGCAAACAGGGAGTCTCCTACCTGTACTGGAGTGCAATGTGGGTGAAAATCAGCCTTTTTTATGTTTATCTATTAAAGTCAGGGGGCTTCCTTGGTAGCTCAGCAGTAAAGAATCTGCCTGTAATGCCAGAGATGTGGGTTTGATCCCTGGGTCAGGAAGACACTCTGGAGAAGGAACTGGCAACCCACTCCAGTATTCTTGCCTGGGAAATCTCATGGACAGAGGAGCCTGGGGGACTACAGTCCATGGGATGGCAAAGAGTTCAACTTGACTTAGCTTGTGGACTTGACTAAATTGTGTTCCACTCTTTGCGACCCCATAAACTGCAGCACACCAGGCTTCCCTGTCTTTCACTATCTCCCAGGGTTTGCTCGAACTCATATCCATTGAGTCAGTGATGCTATCTAACCATCTCATCTTTTGCAAACCCCTTATCCTCTTGTTCAATCTTTCCCAGCATCAGGGTATTTTTCCAATGAGTCAGCTCTTCACATCAGGGGGCCAGCGTATCAGTCCTCCAAATGAATATTCAGGACTAATTTCCTTTAGGATTGACTGGTTTGATCTCTTTATATTCCAAGGGACTCTCAAAAGTCTTCTCCAGCACTACAATTCAAAGGCAGCAATTCTTCAGTTCTCAGTCTTCTTTATGGTCCAGCTCTAACATCCATACATGACTACTGGAAAAACCATAGCTTTGACCTTTTTGGCAAAGTGATGTCTCTGATTTTTAACCATTAAATGTTAATAATGATTCTTTTTCTCAAGTGTAAGTATCTAGGAAAGAAAAGTATCATAAAGTTAATAGGAAATATGTTAGACTCTTTCTTCTTGAGCAATAAAAAGGCATTTTGAAAGCCCAGAGCTTAAGAAATTGGTTAGATGATATTTAGTGGAGATGGGAAAGAAGGCAAAACCAAGAAAGGGAAAAAAAAAAAAAAGGGTCCCAAGGCAATCATGTTTCTGTGGAAGACTGTCAGGCCATAACTGGATGCCAGCACCTCTAGTCATTGCCCCAACCTACTCCCACGCCTGCATAGAGTCCGGGAAGGACATTGTCTATGGAGGAATGGCCCTAGGATCTACAAGCCTTCTAAGACACCCTTCTGACCAGTGAGGCCAAGTTCCCTTTCCTCCCTGTGGACTCAAGGACTCAGAGTGAGTCCAGCAACTTTATGAAGTCCTAGCTTCCTATTGTTCTTTAGTCATTAAGTCACTTCTGACTCTGGTGACTCCATGAACTGTATCCTGCCAGGCTTCTCTGTGGAATTTTCCAGGTAAGAATACTAGAGTGGGGTGGCATTTCCTTCTCCAGGGGATCTTCCTGACCCAGAGATTGAACCTGTGTCTCCTGCATTGGCAGGTGGATTTTTTACCAGGGAAGCCTACCTAGCTTCCGAGGCAGGAGAAAAGGCAAAAAAAAAGTTTTAATGGAGAAGTTTTAAGTACTGAAAGTCTTTCATTTGTGTCCAACTCTTTGTGACCCCATGGACTATATGGTCCATGGAATTCTCTAGGCCAGAATGCTGGAGTGGGTAGCTGTCTCTTCTCCAGGGGATCTTCCTAACCCAGGGATTGAACGCAGATCTCTCACATTGCAGGTGGATTCTTTACCAGCTGAGCCACAAAGGAAGCCCATAAAAAAGCAGAATGACCTACTTTTCTTTGTGTCCCTCAACAAACCTAGAGAATGTTTGATTTTCTCTGTGTCATCATCACTAGGCTGAAGACTTCAATGTCCAGTGTCCTGCCTGGAACAGAACCGGGGATGACCAGTGAAAATCATGGTACCTTCAGAGACAGTGGAAGAAATCCAAATGGTCCTATTTATTCTCAGGACATATCTGAATAAAATGGCGGGACCACTGTGCTCCCGGACGTAAGATAAGGAGGTGATCAGCCTCAAATGCGGAAGCTGAATCACTGGAACCAGGTAAAACACCCTGATCTGAGAATAAGGAGAACTGGGTCCATCTGTCCATTTGACCACTGAGTCAGTTTCCATGGATCTCAGTTTCATCATGTTTTAAATGCAACATCCTGAGAATAATAATCAGTGTTCTACACACATTCCTAGACCTGTAAAACAATGAACAAAATATGTTGGAAATACTACTTTGCTATACATCTGGATTTTAATGCTGGTTTTACATATTTTTATCTGGACAAATTGTTCAACCTTTTGGGAATACCTATTAATATTTCTTACTTGAAAAATAGCAATATATTTCAGGATAAGGTGAATCACTCTTCAATTTGCTTCATTACTGTAATATTACAATGTCCTCACATGAAACTGTTTCTATCCATAACTTCTTAGCTTAGGCTCATAGGACCATTTATAAGGAGGACCAGTGCTTTTTGCTTTAGTCACTGTCGTGTCGGGCTCTTTGCCACCCCATGGACTGTAGCCTGCCAGGCTCCTCTGTCTATGGAATCTTCCAGGCAAGAATATTGGTGTGGGTTGCCATTTCCTTCTCCAGGGGATGTCCCTGATCCAGGGATCGAACCCGCATCTCCTGCAATGTCAGGCAGATTTTTACCTCTGAGCCACCAGGGAAGCCTCAATGACCAATGAATGACATTGTAAATTTTAATTTCTTTAGCAAAAGCAAAATTTTTTAAATAGTAGTGAGCAAAGTGACTTTCTCGAACCAGCAACCAGGTGCCTGTTTCATTTCCTTTCTCAGAACTGACCTCCTCCTGCCCAGGGAGGGGGAATGGGGAGAAGGGAGGGTTGGAGAAGGCTGATGTCACACAGCCCTACATAAAAGCCTCCTTTGGGCTCCTGCCGGCAGTTTGGAAGCAGCTGGAAGGATGAATTAGGTCCTGGTGGTGAGATTTTTTTTTTTTTCCAGGCAGACGCAGACACAACTGTTGAGCAAAATGCAGACTCCACAGAAAAGTCCAAGCCTCAGACCTTTCAAGCAGAGGAAGAGTTTAGGTAAAGCTCTCAGAATAGCCGTCTGGATTTTGGCCCTCAAGACAGCAAGAGAAGGTACAGACTTTTGTATATGCTGATGTGCTCATTTAATCTTAAATGTTCACAGCAACCAGAAGAGAGGAAGTTGCTGGAATCAGAGTGAAGTTCCCGGGCAAGATCCCGGTAAGACTCCATTGTCCTGGGGAGTGGAGGTGGGGTGAGGGCTGGGATTAGGGGGAGAGGGGCTGTGACCCTATTCTTTGAAAAACCCAAACCCAGCCAATGACCTCCTTCTCTCTAGTCCAAGTTCCTAAGACATAGAAAGCTGAGGTGTATCCCTTGACATTTGCTTCAGAGGAGATTCAGGTTGACACCCTTGACAGGTGATAGTGGAGCGCTACCCCAGGGAAAAGTTCCTGCCCCGGCTGGACAAGACCAAGTTCCTGGTCCCACAGGAACTGACCATGACGCAGTTTCTCAGCGTCATTCGGTAGGTACCAAAGCACCTGTGGGGATGCGTGTTGTGTGGTCTTGGGCTTTTGGATCAGTGAGAGATGGGATGTGGCAGAGAGCAAAGGAGAATGATTTGTGCCTCCCCTGCTCTTCAACTATGCTGTGTGTGTGTGTGTGTGTGTGTGTGTGTCTGTCTGTCTGTCTGTCTGTCCTGCATCTTCGTTGCTGTGTGGGCTTTTCTCTAGTTGTGGCTGGCTGAGACTACTCTCTAGTTCTGGCACATGGGCTTCTCATTGTGGTGGCTTCTCCTGTTGCGGAGCACGACTCTAGGGTGTGTGGGCTTCAGTGGTTGCATCACGTGGGCTCCGCAATTGTGGCTGCCGGGCTCAGTTCCTGTGGTGTGGGGGCTTAGTTGCTCTGCGACTTGTGGGATCTCCCCAGACCAGGGCTCAAAGAACCTGCATCCCCTGCGTTGGCAGGCGGACTCCTGGATTCTTTACCACTGAGCCACCAGGGGAGCCCCAACTATACCTTTAAAAAGGATGATCTCATGAGTAACCAATTTTAAAACGATGTCAAATATTTTGCTACCGCCCTAAAATAAGTGAGCACTCCCAATATTGATGTATCAGCTATTTTTCCCTTTGTTTACACATTTTACTGGTACTGTGTTTTAATTTCTGCCATCAAATTTCTCTAAGAATTTTTCAAAGGAACCTTTGGAAACTGGTCCAAAGCCCTGTTTTCAGCTATTTTAAAAGCCCGATGACAGCATTTTATGTCTAAATATTTTCCCCCTTGTGGCTGGGAGGGAATTTGGGGTAGGAAACTACACTGTCCACCTGCTGAATCACTGAGCAGGACAACCACACCTTCCGCACATCCTTCTTTCTTCCATTCAGAACAAGGGAATGTGTAGAGCAAAATCAGTGTTGCTGACTTTGAAGCTTAAGGGATTGAAGTTGTCATCTGCCAGCTGGACTCAATGAAAAATGATATGAAACCAAAAATAGCTGACTAGGGGCTCCATAACCATGGCTGGTGTGTGAGTCTCCCTGTGCTAGAAACAACCTCTCAAAAGTTTTGGCTGATGCAGACAGTTTCATCTGAGAATTTATTATGATTTTTTAAAAAACAAACTCTTTCAGAAGACCCTGCATTCTTCTCAGACCTACTTAAGGGTTAGGTTAATCCATGGAAATTGGAGCAACTCGAGGAAAACCACAGTGAGGTATAGACCCCTCTTCTGTCAGCCTACAGGCAGCTGGGGCACAGTGTGGCTTCACCAAAAAGTGAGTTTTGACCAACTTCGTCCTTTTTTCCATACAGGTACACCTCCAGTTGTCATACACTGTTCATCCTTCAACCTAATAATTTTGAATCTTTGTGTGAATGTTATTCACTCAGTTGTATCCAACTCTTTGTGTCCCCTTGGCCTGTAGCTCAACCAGGTTCCTCTGTCCATGGGATTTCCCAGACAAGAATACTGGAGTGGGTTACCATTTCTTTCTCCAGGGGATCTCCCCAACCCAGGGATCGAACCCAGTCTCCTGCATTGCGAGCAGATTCTTTACCATCTGAGCCACAAGGGAAGCCCTCAAATCTTTGCATTAAGTTATAATGGGTGCTTAATATGAATATGTCTAGATGGCTTGAATCTTAACATTAAGCCATTAAACACACTGATATTAAGCACCCATTATGTATTGTGCACTGTGCTGGGTACTGCACAAAGAGCAATGAAAAATACAGACCAAAAGTCCTACACTAAACAACATTCAAACTAGAGTTTTTGCTCTTGGAGACTCCTCACCCTTAATAAAATGAGACCCTGGTGGAAGAAGAAAGGAGATGAAGGTGCAATGTGGGAATATAGAAGCCCCATCTTCAGATCTATTCTTTCCATGTAGAACAGGCATTTCCTCACCACACGAGAGCAGTGCAATGGTCAGGGTTTGGTCTTTGGATTATCCAGTATTAGTTAATCAGATTCTGAAACTACTTCCTCTCCCACCCACCACATAAATGTGGCTCCTCCTAGCTAAGATTAGGGGTATAATGTCTGTGCCTCTAATGTCTGGGTGGAGGGTGGTCAGACAGGGCAAGCCGATGCCAACAGATTCATCTTGCTCTGCTACTAAACCAATTCAGAACTCCTATGAATCTAGCCAAACATGGCTGTTCCTCTGCATCCACAACCCAAGGGGAGGGATTTATACTTTTGCATAGTAATGCTTTTCCAAACGGGCTTCCCTGGCGGCTCAGACAGTGAAGCATCTGCGTGCACTGCAGGAGACCTGGGTTCGATCCCTGCCCAGGTTGCTGAGTGGTAAAGACTATGCCTGCCAATGCAGTCTGGGTCCAGAAGATTCCCTGGAGGAGGAAATGGCAACCCACTCCAGTATTCTTGCCTGGAGAATCCCCATGGACACAGGAACCTGGGAGCTATAATCCATGGGGTCGCAAAGAGTAGGACACAACTTAGCAACTAAACAACAACAACCTTTTTCAAATGTCACCCCAAAGCTGCTTAACTGACTTGTCAATATACACAGCGTTATGTGTTTTCTTTGCACCACTCAGGAAATTCTTAACTTAAAATTCATAGCAAACTGAGGCATATTTACTTAGCATTTTTGAGCTAACAATATTTTTTCTAGTTTTTGATAAGATGGTCTCACAGTCTGAGCTCATCCATGAGTTAGAAGACATTTCAAATCTCCAGAAAAATGAACAATCTTTTAGCCAGTCTCTAATAAATTTATCTTATTTACTGCAGAGAGACAGAGCACTATGATATGCAGATTCTTCGATTTCTTTTATTATTATATTTTTAATTGTGATAAAATATTATTTTAATCATTTGTAAGTGAACAGATCAATGGCCTTAAGTACATTCACATTGTTGTGCAACCATTACCAGTATCCATCTCATCTTCCCAAAGGAAAACTCTGTCCCTATTAAAAACTGATTTTCCCATCCTCTCCTTCTCCTAATCCCTGAAAACCTGCATTTAGACTACCTTCTATCTCTATGAATTTGACTGCTAGATACCTCATGTAAGTGGGATCATATGGTATCCTTTTGTGAATGACTTATTTCACTGAACATACAGTCCTTAAAATTCATCCATGTTGTAGCATTTACTTGTCAGAATTTCCTTCCTTTTTAAGGGTGATTAATACTCCATTTATGGATGGACCATGTTTTGTTTATCTATTCATGTGTTGATGGACACTTGGGTTGCTTCCATCAGATTCTTTAGCCTCTGTGCCTCAGTTTATCAGTTATTAGGGAATGAAATGGAACAAAGACTGAAGTTGTATATAAAAAAGTTAAGTAGGGACTTTTCACTTTCCTTGTGGTCAGTAATTAATGATCTGCATGCCAAGCAGGGGACGCAGGTTTGACCCCTGTTCTGGGAACTAAGATCCCACATGCCTTGGGGCAACTAAGCCTGTGCAACCCAGCTGCTGAAACCTTAGTGCCCTAGAGCCAGTGCTCCACAACAAGAGAAATCACCTTAATGAGAAGCCCATGAACAGCAACTAGAGAGTAGCCCCTGCTTGCCACAACTGGAGAAAGCCTGCACACAGTAACAAAAACCCAGTACAGACAAAAATAAAGAAATAAAAATTTTCAAAAAAAAAGTAATGACCAGATATAAATTCGTGTTTTAGTAGTCACTAGTATAAGCAAGCAAATCGATATAGATGACACTTTGAAAAACTCTGGGCAGCAGCAGGAGTGGAAGTTAGACTGCCTGTGCATCTAGAGTAACGTGTCAGGCAAGTTCTACCTGCTTCACGGTCCCACAGATGCCTGGGCTGCTTCCAAGTTCTACTAAACCAAAATCTGTGGGATGGAGTCCACTTTCAACCGGACTCTCCTAGGTAATTCTAAAGTTTAAGGGTAATAGCCCTGGAGTAGGGAGGTGGGGGCATCTTGGGTAGATATGCCTACACTGGCCAAATAAAGATGAGGAAGGCTGTGGGTCAGCAATCATTCCCTTCCGGGTTAACATTTTCCCTTCCGGGTTAACTTTTTCCCTTCCTGCCCCCTGCATACCCTCTTCCTCAACCCAGGAGCCGCATGGTCCTAGGGGCCACTGAAGCCTTTTACTTGCTGGTGAACAACAAGAGCCTGGGAAGTATGAATGTGACCATGGCAGAGATCTACAGGGACTACAAGGACGAGGATGGCTTTGTGTACATGACCTATGCCTCCCAGGAGATGTTTGGCTGCTTGGGGTCAGCAGCCCCCGGGGATGGGAGCAGCTTTGGGGAGGACAGGCCCTGCCATCCTCTCTAGCACGTGTCCTCTAACCATTGTGTTCACAGTGCAGGAGGCACAGACTGTTTTCTGTGTGTGCCCTGATGATCCGGGGGCAAAGCCCCCTGCAATGATCAGCACCAACCATGACAATGAGGCAAGACCTGCGTGTTTCCTTTTTTGTGCTCACCCTCTTTGGTGGCTCTTGAGAATTTTGGAAATAGTCTTTTCTGAGAAAGAAGTAGTTAACTTGTGCAATGAGTTGGGGAGGTATTTTAAATGTTTCCTGTGATGTAGGCCAAGCTGGAGGCCCTGGAGGTATGTGATCTGTCTTGATGGGCAGGAGTCCCGAGTACGCTTGGGTGTGGAGATCCTGTGACCTCAGATGGTCTCCATGGAGCCTGGTGCAGCCATCCTGAACTGCCTCATTTGGGGATGGTGGGGGTGGCGGGTGGAATGACTGCAGAGGGGAAGTGGCCTTATCTATGTCATTAAAGAGATTATTGTTATTTCCACAGCATTCACTTGACTTGGTTGTTTCCCCTCACATTCTTTTAGTCTGTCTGTGCCCCTCACAGATTTATGCCAAAGTGGTGACTGTTCTGTTTCAAATAATTTAAATGGTTAGTTTTCCTTGCAGTAGAAGTTTGTGAGTGCCGTTTCTTTGGAGCACCTGAGCTGATTGCCAGCATGCCCACGGCTGAGAAGGTGCTGAGACCAGTGCCAACAACAGTGTATTTTGTGAGTGCACACGAAGGGGGACGGGTGACAATAGAGAGCACACTTCTTGGTGGACACCCCTGCAGAGGAGTACTCAGCGGCTACTTTAACAGCAGAAGCCTGCCCATCCTGCCCACCTCACACCGCAGCTTAGAAGCGGATCTGGGGCTTTTATACCAACAACTGAGGAGCAGACCCTGCCCCTGACAGGGCTGTGACAACCACAGAGCAAAGAGAAGGCCCCAACCAATATCCCGGGAAGGCTTGGATCACCACAACACCAATTACATCCTCTACCCAGGGGATGAGGGCCAGCAAACACCGAGGAAGGATGTGGTAGGCATCCATAGTAAAAACAGACTTTGCATCAAAAATACTAGACTCACACAGGCTACACAGGGACACTCACATAGAAGCAGTCTCAGACTCTCTCACTGACTTCCTGTTGCCAAATGTCTGATAAGGAAGAGTTTCTTGCTTCTTCAGGCATCATAGGGCTCCAAGTCCGGGCTCCATTACTTTTTAAGTCTATTCCTGCCTTCTCTCCCTGTTATTGTCTCTAAATGTGTGTGACCTGCTCTTCAACACAGAGGACCCTGCTTCTCAGACATCTCCCCCACCCACTCAAACTCCCAGGCGCCCAGGGTCTGAGTATGTCTCATACCATGAGTCTAAGTCACTTGAGACTAGCAGGGAGGAGGATATTTCTCTCTCTATCCATCTTTAAGTTCTCACAGTTGGACTAATAATTAAATTAAATTAACAGGAGAAAAACAAACTAATTTGTGCACCCACACATCCATACAAATGGGACCTAAGAAGTATGTCAGAAGTGGCCAACGCAGGCAGAGTTTATACTTTTTAGATATAAGCAATACATTTCTGAGGAATGGACAGGATAACGAAACTTGGGCTTTGGGTGCCCAGTTAGTGAAGAATCTAAAGGGTTTGGGCTTGGGATGGTAAATGAAAAGAGTACAAGGTTTGTTTATATAGGCTTCTCAACACCAAATGCCCTATCTCTGGTGATAAGGTTGCCCTTCTACCTTCAGACGCAGGGAGCACACCTTTTACAGAGGAGATTCATTTTCTGCTTTCAAAGAGACAGAAAGGAGGCTCAGAGTGTCTCTCTTGCATTGGCTGTTTCTTAAATGACTTCAATTCAAAGCAATCAATATGCCCTTGTGACTTACTAGTGGGCAGCCTGCCCTGGGCCCCAACAACGTCTAGAATCATAGGCGATAAGACCGCTCCGCTTTTTCATCTCATCCCTTGGAAAAGTGTCCTATTTATATTTCATCTCTTTCCATCCTCCTTCCAGCTCAAGTAGGATAAACTCCATGGGTACAATTTGAGCAGGTACATAACTCAGCATTATACAAGGAGAGGGCCTCCCTGGTGTCTCAGCAGTAAAGAACCCACCTGCCAGTGCAGGAGACCCGGGTTCAATCCCTGGATCAGGAAGATCCCCCGGAAAAGGAAATGGCAACCCACTCCAGTATTCTTGGATGGGAAATTCCATGAACAGAGAAGCCTGGCTGGCTACAGTCCATGTCACAAAGAGTTGGACACAATTTAGTGACCAAACAACAATGACATACCCTAACCTTGTAATCAGACAAACCTGGATTCAATGGCTAGGCCTGTCTCTGTTCTCAGCACAGTTACTTTCTCTCTCTGTGTTGATTTCTTTCTGTCAGAACTGTGGACGATACCCTGGGACAGCTGCATAGACATATGCCCTTGCGCTGAGAAGGGCCCCTTGGTTTACTGCCTTGCTGTTGCCATCTTGAAACTCTGAACTTTCTAACAGGAGCCATGCATTTTCATTTTGCACTGGGCCCTGCAAATTACACTGCCAGTTCTATCTAAACAATTGGGTTAATATGAAAAGAGCCACATGCAAAGAAGTGAGTTTGGTCAATTGTTACAGAGTACTTTCCATGACCTAGATTCATGAGAAGATTCATGATATCTCATTTCACAGACAGATGGTAACTTCTATTAGCGCATCATGTGTGAAGGGCCAGACTGCTCTTTCCATCTGTGCCACCTTGGGAAATCTCAGTGCCTCAGATGCCCTCAGGGTCATCATTTATAAGATGTAGATAATAAAAGTATTTACCCTGTGGGGTTTGGGAGAGGATTAAATGAGGTGATATATGAATCATTCCTTAAACAGTGCTTAGCACATAGCAAGTTATTCATATTCTTATTGTATATTTAAAATTATTTTGTTTAAAGCTGTGTTTTAGTTTAAATATTGTATGTTAATACAGAGTAATTGTAGGTACCAGAGAAATAAACAATTGACCAAAAAAGAGATACAAATGGCCAATAAAAATTTGAAAAGACGTTTCATATTTCACATGGCTAAAGAATACAAAGTAAGTTAGTTATGGGATGGTTATTTTTCACTCATCTCACTTGGGAAGATTTTTTAAGTGATAATACTCCATATTAGCCAGATTATGGGAGATAGGTACTCTGGAGCATTGCTGATGAGGAATACAAATGTGTTCACAATTTTAGGACAATATGGCTGTGTTTACCTAAGTTTTATGTCAACAATCCCAATCCAAGGAAATGCAATACTTGCAGAGGTAGTAAAAATATATTCACTCATTTATTTATTTATTGAGTGTATATTGAACATCTGTTTAGTATCAGCTGAAGTCACTGATTCGTGGACTCCCTTAAAGGAGGTAATCAATCAGGTGACGTGATTTCATGTAATCATAAGTATTATTAAGACAAAGTCAGCTCTTGATTGAAGAGTGATGAGATAGGGAACAGGATAGTCTATGGATGAAAGAGGTAGGCCTTGCTAAAGAAATGATACCTAGGGCTTCCCTGGTGGCTCAATGGTAGAAGAATCTGCCTGCCAATGCAGGAGACACGGGTTCAATCCCTGGTCCGGGAAGATCCTACATGCCACGGAGAAGCTAAGCTCATGTGCCACAACTATCGAACCTGTCCTCTGGAGCCCAGGGATCACAACTAAAAAGCCCATGTGCCTCAACTACTGAAGCCTGATGCCCTAGAGTCCATGCTCAACAAGATAAGCCACTGCAATGAGAAACTCATGCACTGCAACTAGAGAGCAACCCCCCTCTATGCAAGTAGAGACAAACCTATGCAGCAGTGAAGACCTAGCACAGCCAAAAACAAACAAACAAATAAAATTATTTTTTTAAAAAAGGAGTGATACTGAAGCAGAGACCTGAAGGAGGGTGTGCTGGCTCCCTCTATGGGAAGGTCCTTCAGTGCAGCCAAAAAAGACAAAGAGGGCCCAGCGGATATGCAGGGCTCTTCAGGGCCCTTCAGCAGGGGAGGCAGTGTAACAAATAGATGACTGTTAATAAAGGGGTAAAAGAGTGCTTTCTTGTCATCTGTACACTGGAATATTATATGAAGCTGAAAAAAGTGAGAAGACCTGCTCGTACATATCTGGAAATGTGTTTGTGACACATGTAGTGGAAATAAAATTACATAGAACAATGTATTAGTATCTTATTCTGATAAAAATATGGAAATGTGTGTATGATGTTTTGTGTAAACATCTGTGAAGATCTTGAGATAGAAAACCAAGTATTATGGATGGTTGTAGCAAGGGGATTGGAGAGCTGAATATTGGTCCAAAGGGTAAAAGAGACTGTGACAAATCAGTGGATTTACAGTGTCATTCTCAAAGTTTCTTAAGTTTTCTGCTTCTCTCCAGAGAAACTGGAAGGTGCTAATCATATATTTGCAAGGATCTTCTTGTTGTGAAGTGGTTTCCCTTGTAAATAGTCCTGCAGGGAAATAATATCCAGGATCACACCGATGACTTATGTGCCTTTAATTAGTGCATTGTTTTGTGTTGTGATTTTCACAAGATTTGGCCTGTTGCAATCCCATCAGTGGGTGATAGACACTTGATCCAAGGACAGGCCCAGGAACAGGCGCTCCCCACCCATTCCAGGCTACCTGGGCAGACTATGGGGCATCCTGAGGCCCCTCCAAGACAACACTACCCACCTCTTAGGCTAAGGCCAAGGTTAGATACAATATGATGCATGAAACAGCTGGAAGATCTCCTGGAAAACACTGTGTGCATGTGTGCTAAGTCACTTCAATTGTGTCCGGCTGTTTGCAACACCATGGTCATGCCTGCCAGTCTCCTCTGTCCATGAGATTTCCCAAGCAAGGATACTGGAGTGGGTTGCCATTTCTTTCTCTTGGGGATTTTCTCCACCCAGGAATCAAACCTGCATCTCCTGCATTTGTCTCCTTCATTGGCAGGCAGATTCTTTACCACTGAGCTACCTGAATGCTCT